ATCTCTAGGCAAAATTATATTATACAAATAAAGCTGCAAGTCTTTTTTTAGCACTTAAAAAAATGAATTGCTACTGCAAGAACAGTATTTCAAAAGCAACTGAAATATCTGGCAGCCAGACTGAGGCTAATGACATGATTTCAGTAACTGTGAGTACCAGAGAAAAGAACTGCAAGCTATGGAGTATGTGCCCAGCAAATGGGTACATTTATCAACGAAGGGAATGGCAGCAGCCTGCACTTAGGTTAGTCATCCATCTTAATTTATGGCACTTTGATCAAAGTCAAATCTCTTTGGAAAGAGAGCCCACTATAGCATCTAGCGGTGGAGATCTGGCACAGAGGTATGCCGGCCCACAGGGCAGCAGGATGGCAAGAAGCTGTAGCCAGTCAGCAGGGATACCCTGAGACTATTGTACCTCCAAAGGCAGATGTGGGTACTTGGCTATGAGGCAGTCTGTGGGGTTCGAATGAGGCCACGGTGACACCGGCTTTTTCTGAAAGCTCTTATTTCTTGTACTGAGAAAACTTGCTTTGCTGAATTGTCACTTCCTTTTTTATTCCTGTGTTGTTTTTAAAAAACTTCAGGCAATAATCATCTTTGTGCAGAAAAACAACTGAGTTTGATTTTTTCTCACAGCTCTAGCAAGATCAAAGCTGTCCATTTGGTATAGGATAACATTATGCCTTGATTGTAAGAATTAGCTAGCCTGATGGCATAACAGCTTGATTAAAAAAAAAAAAAAGACAAAAAACCTCTACTTCACCATTTTTTAAAAAATGATGTATGTATACATAAAAAAATCACTACCACGAGTCAATTTTGACTTACAGCAACCACCCTGTAGGACAGAGTAGAACTGCCCCATAGAGGTTTCCAGGCTGTAATCTTTATGAAAGCACACTGCCTCATCACTCTCTCACGAAGCGGCTGAGGGCTTAAGCATTGTACCTATATATGTAAATTTGAATAACATGAAGAAAAATAACTCTTAATTACATGACTAGGAGTTGTTGTTGTTATGTGTCGTTGAGTCGGCCCTGACTCATAGTGACCCCTCCTTGGGTTTCCGAGGCAGTATCACTACGGAAGTAGATTGCCCAACCTTCCTTCCGAGGAGTGGTTGGTGGGTTTGAACTACCAGCCTTCTGTTAACAGTGAAGTGCTTTAGGCACTATGCTGCCAGAGCTACTATCCTTAATTTTTTGGACTATTTCATCCTAGACTTTCTTCTACTCATTCTTCTGTTACTTTTTTCTGTTCAATTTTCTTTTTACATGATTGAGATCATACACTCCTGAATTTCTGTTTTCCCCTATCTCCACCATTAGCCTCTGAACATCTCCACATCACTCAAAAATTTATTCATAAGCCATTTTTAATGGTAGGAATGTGCTATAATTTACCCAGTCATTCTCACAAAACCTTTAGGCTATTTATATTTCACTATCAAAAATAACACTGATGTAAATTCCATGTTCACATTTCAAATTGGAAGTACCTGACATAGTCTGCCAGCCTGGCTCTCTTGATACTTGCATTTGGCCCTCAAAGCACTCTCATCAACAGTTAAATAAAAGTTCGTTCATCTGAGAGGTAAAAAAATGAGTTCTTATGATTTTAAATTTGAATTTTGTAGATTACTAAACAAAGCTTAACTTTTAAAAACAATTGTTTTTGGCCATTTTTTTTTTTCCTTTTGAATCATCTGTTGATAGTCTAGACTCATTTACTAATAGAGACTTACGCTTTTCTTATCAATTTTTCACAAACTCTTCATTTATAATTTGTTTGCTGAAGATATTTTTCCTAGTTTTTGGAAATCATATACTTTGAAACATCAGTACCCTTATTACCCGTGACTTATTTTAATGAGAAGATCTAAAACAATTCCCTCCCATCATATAACCAACACCAATAGTTGAATAACTTCCCTTCCTCACTCATTTTTAACATATAGTCATATTAAGTATTTACATAATTCCAGTCTATCTTTAGGAGCTCTGGTAGCATAGTGGCTAAAGCACTTGACTGCTAACCAGAAGGCTGGCGGTTCAAACCCACCAGCCACTCCTCGGAAGGAAGGTTGGGCAATCCTACTTCCGTAGTGATACTGCCTCGGAAACCCAAGGAGGGGTCGCTATGAGTCGGGGCTGACTCGACGACACATAACAACAACAACAACAAGTCTATCTTTGGATTTTCTGTCCCAGTGATCTATTTATAATGAATTACAAAGCCAGTACTCTTGTGTTATTTTTTTGCCATGTTCCTTGAGCTATTCTCACTTGAACATTCTTCCAGATAAACTTTAGGAAGCTTATTAAAGGACAGGAAAAAAAACCAAAAAAACCACTGGAATTATGATTAAAAAATATGAATTAATTTGGGAAGGCTGACATCTGTAATTATTTCAGGTAATCATTCAGATAAAGGAATGATACATTTTTGAACTTATGATTATAAGCTGAGTATGGAATTCTTCAGTCCCAGTCTCTTGACTCTGAAGACAGTCTAGTCCTTGCTTCCTATATGTAGTTGTACCAGTCTTAGGCACATATAGTTTTGCTCTACGTAACCTATTTCTTTCATCTTCAGGCATACAGATAATTTCTCTTTTAGCTTTATTAAGCCAAACAACTTGCTGAACGATGTCTAAGGCGCTCTGGTGGCATAATGGGTACTGTATTTGGCTGCTAACCAGAAGGTCAGTGGTTCAAACCCACCAGCTGCTCCATGGGAGGAAGATAAGGCAATGAGTTTTTCCCCTGTGGGAAAATTTTGGGATAAATCCTTTAAATTTGTTATGTAATTATTTATATCACATTTGATTACTTTATCTGTTTTGACTGCTTGCTTTCTTGGGAACACTCATTATTCTTGGGCT